TAAGAAAGAGCAATCAGACAAGTAGGAAGAGAACTCAGAGAGAGCAGCAGCATGAAAGCCTAAAGAGGAGAGAGTGTCCAAGAAGAAATAAGTGACCAACAGCATCAGATGCTGAAGAGAGATCAGGAAAGATGAGGATTAGGAAAAGGTTAGTTGATTTCGCAACTAAGGGATCATTGATGACTCTGGAGAGAGCAGCTTTAGTAAAATAAAGTAAGAGCCAGATTACAGAGAGTTTAGAAGAGAAAGACAAGAGAAGGCTATAGGAACATCTAGTATATATGGCTTTCTCAAGGAATTTAGCCAAGAGGGGAGGGGGAAGGAGACATATCTGATGATAGCTAGTGGCGATGGTTGGATCTAGCAAGGGTCTTTTAAAGATGGGGGAGGCATGAGTGTGTTTGAAAATAGTAGCAAGGGAGCCAGTGGATAGATAGAGATTGAAGGTTAGTATAGGGGAGGATGCTAGTAGGGCAATCTGCTAAAGAAGATGGGACAGGATGTGGGCAAGTCTTCTTGAAGAGGGAGTTCATTTTGCCTGGAACATTGAATTGTGAAACAATAATATGTAATAAGTCTGGAAAAGTAGATTGTAGCCATATTACTACTCTTTAAATGCCAGGCTGAGGAGTTTTATTTTATTTTGGAAGTAAAAGAGGGCTACTGGACATTTTTGAACAGAATCTATTTTGGCAGCTATGTGGAGGAAACACTGAAAGGGGGGAAAGATTGAAAGCAGAAAGACCATTAAAAAATAATGAAAACAGCATAAGCATAACAAATTTACTTGACCCTCTGTTCCCTTAATTAAAGTCCCATTTCTCACCTTCCTTTCACTGCCAAACTTCTTGAATTAGAGGTCTCACCTACCACCTTCATTTCCTCACAACCTACTCATTGCTTAACCTACACATTCTTGCAGTATGGCTTCTGTCCCCACCCCCACCCTCAATTCTACTGAAACTACCCTTACTGATGATCCTTTTTATTGAGAGTCTTCTCTCAGTCTTCAGATTTCTCAAAGAACCTGTGACATTTACCATTGTTGGCTATCTCCTCCTTACTGAAATTCTTTACTAACTTGCCTTTTGTGACATTGATCTTAGAAATTAGAGCTGCAATGAACCTTTGATATTCTAATACAGCCTAAGCTTTTCATTTCTTTGAAGATGAAGAAACTGGAACTCAGAGAGGTTAACTGACTTTTTCAAAGTAACACCCATAGCAAAAGCAGAGCTGGAATTGAAAAACTCATCCTCTGATTACAATTCCAGTGCGCTTTCCACTATATACCATGTTGTCCTTCTAGTTAGCCTGCCATCTCTTTAACTTTCTTCTTTGTCTTCTTTTCATCTCTTCTACTTGCCCCCAAATACTTTCTCATATCCTTCTAGCTCCAAAAAAAAATTAAAAATCCATATTTTGTCTAGAACCAAACATTTTTTCTCCTCTAGGCTCTTTTTGTTAATGACACTACTAATCTCCCAGGCTCCCAGCCTTAAACCCAAGAGAAATCATTGACTCTTCTTTCCCCTTTTTGCCCATATCTAGTCATTTTCCAATGTCTCTCTCTTCTCTCTTTTCTTTTCATCCTTATTACTACCACTTTAGTTGGATCTCCTATCACTTTATGTCTAGACTATTGATATATCTTTTTAACCTTCCTTCTGGACTGTGGTCATTTAACCCTGCGACACTTTATCCTGCAAACCACTACCAGATTGACCTTAATGAAATGCAAGTTTCATCCCTAACTTGTTTTAAAATCTTCAATGACTCCCCATTGCCTAAAGGATAAAGACCAGACACTTCAGGCTGAAATTTAAGTCCTCCATATTCTAGTCACAGCTTTCCTTTCTAGACTTATAGCCCACTTATTTCAGTCCAAACTGACTTGTATAAAGGCATCCAGTGACTTGGGTGAAGGCATAAATGGAATTTCCAGATGGCACAAACCAAGGAGGGATAACACCCCTAGCTAATGAAAACATGACCCCCAAAAATCTTGACAGCCTAGAGCATTGGGATGAATTCAGTAAGATGAAATTCAAAATCAACTTCACAGGGATTAGATAGCAGTTGTTCCAAAAAAAACGATCTAGGTGTTTTAATAGACTCCAAGCTCAATGTGAGTGAGCATTGTGATGTAGCAGCCAAAAAAATATGAAATCTTGGACCTCATTCAAAAAAATATCAGCAAGAATCATGATTGGTCATTGTGTTGATTAGAGTTATGAAGTCTTACAAAGTTGTTCACTTTTATGACATTGTTATAGTATAAATTGTTCTCCTGATTCTGCTCAATTCCCTCTGCATCAGTTAATATAAATCCTCCTAGATTTTTCTGAAACCATTTGTTGCAGCATTTCTTATACCACAATAGGACCAATGATGAAGCATACTGTCTACCTCCTGAGATATAGATGATGAACTAAATATGCTTAATAAAATGCATATTTTTGGACTTGGCCAATGTGGGGATTTATTTTTTATTTTGCACATCTGTTATATAGATTTTGGTTTGTTTGGGGATTTTTTTGGAGGGGGAGAAAATAAATACTTGTTCGTTGAAAAGAAAGCTTCCAGAAATAAGGAGGTGATAGTCTTACTGACTGTGCATACTCAGATTTCATCCAGAGTAAAGTGTACAGTTCTAGATAGGACAATTTAAGGTAGAGAGTGGCATTAGGTGGGCAACCAGAGTAGTGAAGGGCCTTGAGGCTATGTCAAATGAGAATCAGTTGAAGGAAATAAGGATTCTGATCTGGAGACTCAGGGTATCATAAAAGCTTCCTTTAGGCATTTAAGAAGTTAAACTAGTTCTATTTGGCTACCGAGTGAAGAAGTAGGAGTCATGGGTAGATGTTAAAAGAATCAAATTTAGGCTTGATATCAACAAAATCTTCTGAGCCATTAAATCTACCCAAAAGTAGGATAGGCTGCCTTGAGGTTTTGTGAGTTCCTCCCTTTGGAGGTCTTCAAGCAGAGGCTAAATGAGGCTACCACTTGTCAGGTGTGTTATAATAGGGATTCCTTTCTTATATGGGTTGGACTGGATGGCTGCTGACGTCCCTTATAGCTCTCAAATGCTGCGATTCTGGAATATCCATTATCTTCTGAGCACACCATATGCTTTCCCCCATTTGTTCCTCATACATTTCTCCCATTTTGGAATGCACTACCTCCCTTTCTCTACTTCAGACAACCTGTGATTTCATAAGTTTGGGCACTCACTCCACAAATAAAGATCACAGCCACCCAATGCTTTAATAGGAGTTTTATGAGTCACTGTGACCAAAAAAAAACCCATCATCGAATGATCAACCATCAGCCAATCTGAAATTAGCTAAGTTGTCCCCATAGACAACAAATAAATCTGACTAGACTGATCCACCATGGGGGCCTTTCTAGTTTCTTAGGACCTAACAGAGCTTGTGCTCTTCTGCCATTGCCTTTATACTAAACACCCCCAGTTCTTTCAATTAAATTTTGTGTGGCATGATCTCATTGGCATAATATAATTCAATTACCTAATGGATTAAATAGGGGTTTGTCTGGGAAAGATAAGTAACATTTATAGCATGATTTTTATCATGGGAAATGCACCTTCATTTCCAAGCAACCAATTTACAACTAAGCTTTTGGAAAGCAACACATTTGGAATTTAGAAGTGCCTATATTTTTTCTTGTTAGATCATCTTTGATGTACATGCAACCCCATTTCCCAATTAATTCTATTCTAGTATTCATTAAGAGAGATTCAGCAGCTGTAATGAGGGAGGTAAGAGTGCCACAGCTGAGGAAGGGCATTGGCCCATAGAAGGGAAACTATAGGGTAAAGAATTAGGGATGTTTTGCCTAGAGAATAGAGGACACATGAGGGCAGATTTCAGTTATTTGAAAGGCTGCCTGGGGAAGGGGAGTTGTATTTGTTCTTGTCTCCAGAGTGCAGAACTAGGAATAATAAATTGAAGCTACAAAGAAGATTAAGGCTTGATGTGGGGGCAAGGCAGGGGGAAGGAGAGTGCTGAATTCCCACTTCCTAGAGGCTTATACCTTGTAAGTGGCAACCTAAAGGGGATTTTCAGTTAAGTATAGTTGGATTAGATGTCCTCCAAGATCATTTAAAACTGTCGGATTCCATGATTCTGTGACAAACTGGAAGGTTCTCCAAAAGCAGAGAATGCATCATTATCTTCTTGTGTCCCTCAAGGCACCTAATAAGGTAAACAATCAAAGAACTTTGGTTGAATGATTAATTGACCCTCCCCAAAGGCTCAACTGGAAGAACACTGCATACTGACACTCCTTACATTCTAGCTGTATCTCAACTGTGGCATTTTAATCAATACCTGTCTGGTTTTCTCTATTAAATGAAGTTTATAATAATGGGACTTTGAAAAAAGCTCACCTATATATTTTCTGTAGTGTGATATGCTTGGATTTTATTATTTGAATAAATAGCATGTTACATTGAAAAACATGGAGGAAAAAAAATCAAGATATGGCTTCATCTTTGAGCTGCCTTTGATTGTCCTTGGCTGGGGAATTTCAAAGCAAATGGTGCCTATCAGGTCTGCCAGGGTTTGACTGAGCCTAGTGGGGCATCAGAAATTGACTCGGTGGACATTGAGGCAACCTAGATTTTTAAATATAATTTTCCAGATGGAGAAGGAGCAGCATGTGCCTTGAATCATAAACAGTAAGCTTCTTGAGGACCTGGATACTCTGATTTATCTTGTTTTTCCCTCATTACCAATCACATTGCCTTATTCATATATTCAATAAATATTTGTTGAATCAGATTGGATTCTGCCTAATTGAATTGCCTGCCCTGTTTTCTAGAAGTAGAAGGAGAGAAAGGACAACAGACAGGAGAATCAAAAATACTCGATTAGGCTCAAGTGAGCAGAAGTGCCTATGTACAGACAGTCTAATTTAACATTTGCTGATAAATAAAAACTTATAAATGAAAAAGAAATACTTTTTTGCCTTTTCAGATGTAACTGTGTGGAACCACATAATCCTAGCAATGATACCTTGAAGGAATGGAGAGAATTCAATATCTCTGCCTCTGACATAATTTGGAAGAACTTAACTGTGTCAGTAAGTGAAATATTGAAAGATTAATATGAGCATGAATATTATCATTTTTTGGGAGGGACGGAACTGTTGTTAAAATTTGAAACCAGTCATTTCTCCTAAGATTTAGAAATGACAACAAGAATAAAATATGTGTGTCATTAGAGAAATGCAGAAAGATTTTTAAACCTGAGCAATTTCAGTTACATTTTAATGAACTAGTTATTGGTTTATCATCATCATGTACATGCTCATGTGAGAAATAGGACTGAGTCTCATTGTGCCTTTACTCTGAAGACAAATTTACATATGAACAACAAGGGACTATGACTGAGATTAAGTCAAAACACATTTAATGACAACAACGGGTTTGACCTAAATTCTACCAGATGGCAAAACCAAAGCTGCCTTGTGTGGAAAGAATCTATAAGCTTTTATTTTAAATTCCCCTCCCCACCTCACCCCCACCCAATATTTCTCCAGCTGTTCAGGCTACACTGAGGGGAGGGGATGCTTTGTTAACATCTCAGTTTAGCTGCTGAAATGTTGTTTGCAGCATTCTCTCAATACTAGCCGTGGGCAGCAGAAAGGTTTGTCTGTTATGGCAGTCTGCTCAAATAATTTCTATAGCGATGTACCAAAGGAGATGGAATAATAAAGCCAACTGCTATGTATTTTGGGTCAAATGTGCCAAGGGAATGATTGAAAAGATAATTGGGATACCTTTCTTAATAAGAACCTCCTACAATAAAGGGCAAGATATGAAAATGGGATTTTCATGTGTAGTAGGACTGATGTCAATGGAGACCACTCAAGGTTGGGATCTTTTGTACCCCCAGACCAGGAAGCTGTATCAGGGAAGCTGGGGCCAGTCAGATTGAAAAGGGGAAGGAAGCTATTAGGGTCAGGAAACCACTGGTTGGACCACAGCGTATCTGCTTCCCCATTACCATTTCTTCTGGTCTGTTGTGTGTGGCTTTGTATGTGTACCTGTCCCATTTCATGGTATATATTTTTTAAAAATTCTGTCTCCACCCAACTGTATTTCACAGTTTTCCCTCACAACCATCTGTCTTCTTTTCTTTGTCATAGCATAAAAGATCATAGGATCATAGATTTAGAGCTGGAAGAGGGGACCTTAAAGGCATCAAGTCCAACCCCCACACTTTACAGATAAGGAAACTGAGGCACAGAGAGGTTAAAAGACTTGACTAGGGTCACCCAGCTAATGAGTGTATAAGGTGGAATTTGAACCCAGATCTCCCTGATCCCAAGTCTAATGCTGTCCCTCAAGGCTGGCTGTTTTCTTTCTCTTATGATCTCCACACCTGCATCCCTAGATGCTCCCAGGACATCTCTGTCTCTTTCTGGATGTCCCACTGGGTCACTGTGTTACCTCCTAAACCTGTTTCTCCTTCTTTCTTCACTATTTCTCTACATGACAATAGTCAGTCACCTAGTCTCCTACAAAACTGTAGTGTTATCTTTGATTTTTCCCTCTCCTTCACCCTTTGTATACATTCAATTTCTAAAATACTGTATATTTCACCTCTGTAACATCTCTCACATTCATCCTCTCCTCTCTATTCTGACTGCTGTCACCCTAGTAGAAGCTCTCATCATTACCAACCTAGGCTGTTTCGGTTGCCTCCTAATGAGTTTCCCAGTTCCACTTTTTACCTCCTTCTAATGTAGCCTTCACACTGCTGTTAGGATATACATTCTTCTGTATGAATCTATTAATGTCACTCTTCTGCTCAAAAGTCTTTAGTAGCTCCTAATTGTCTACTAAGTAAAGTTCAAATATCCAACCTCCCCCCATACACACACACTGATTTCATATTACCTTCCTTGCCTCATCTTTTATCACTTCTCTTCATATACTTTATGATCCGATCTGAACTCTCCTGCTTCTGAACCTTACCTATGGTGGTTCTTATGTCTAAAATGCCCTTGTTTCCCAGTCCTCATCTGTTAAATTCCAATTTATCCATTAAAATTCAACTTAAATGTCACCTGTTTCCTTTCCCTTCCTCCTCACCCCATTAGTATTCTCAATCAACATTTTGTTCCACAACTCTCTAACACTTTTATTATGCAATTGTATACTATAGTTTTCTGTGTTTGTGTTATTCCCCTACTGTAAGATTTATGAAGGGAAGAGCTACATCTTACCTAAAACTTTCTATCTCCCCCAAAGTAAAGTAATACAGAACTTTGCATACTGTGAATGCTTAATCACTGTCTGTTGAATTACTGTTGCTGAATATTCACTTTCTATACTCTTCTATCTTCAATCTGTAGCTGATTTTTTTTTCTATTTTGTATTTTTTTTTCAGTTCTATTCTACAATTTCATCAGTTTAAGGGACTCCCAGAAGGAAACTGACTACTTCAATATAGACTGGCAACTGTCCTTTGACTTTTAAGCTTAAGAGCATTGACTGGGGCCCTGAGACATTAAGTGACTTGTCCGTGGTCACACAAATAGTGTGTGTCAGAGACAGAACTTGTCTTCCTCTCTTGGGAGTTAGCCCTCTATTCACTACATAGCATTACCTGTCCAAATTATATTTTACTGAAAGCCAAACAGTTCCACCTGTGATTTTAAAGGATAATGTAATTTCAGTGAAAGCAATGGGTCTGACTTTTATATGTTCTGGATAGTAACCATACTACATGATTACAGGAATAATAATTAAATGTAAAGTAGTCAGTCCAGCAGAGTACCTTATGAAAGAAGGACTTATAGTTATAGTAATCTAGATAACCATATGGTTCCTTTTAAGAATTATAAGTTTGAGGGTCAAACATTATACTCTGAACAGTATTTTCCAATCAAAGCAAATCTAAATTGTTTTTGTTCACCCACTAGGCATAAACATTCTGGCAGAAATTTTCATATTATTTTTCAATAGCAAAAAGCAGTTTTTTGCAATGTATAATTGCTATTCTTCATCATAAATGGCCTTTTTCACCATGAGAAAAGATAAACAATGGCTAAGTATTCTCATTTCTGAAAAGTCTAGATTTAAAGACAGCATAAGAAAATACTCAGTTTTCCTTAAAGGAATGTGTGTGTGTGTGTGTGTGTGTGTGTGTGTGTGTGTGTGTGTGTGTATAATCTTCTTAAAGGGTTGATTTCTCTATGCTATCAGTATTATCCAGAAGATTTTAAGGCAAAGTACTGTTCCAGATCTATACAGAACTTATCAGACAGGAGTAGTTCTCTGGAATTATTGTCTATTCCATTCATTTAACAACTAATCCTAAATGTATTCCATTGTTTCATTAATTATCTCACTTATTGCTATTTAATTTTTCATATGTTTATGTCTGGTTTCTCCATCTCCAAAGTTCCTCAGGGAAGGGACCATGTCTTATTTGTATCCTTCGTGATACTTTAGTTGATGGGTAAAATAATTGTTTCTCTCCAATTTTCAGGCTTAGACAAAGTCTTTTCTCCTGGTTAAAACTTTAGGTTCTCTAGTTACAGATACACATAAATGGGACCAGCATACTTGTTCCAAATTTGATTCCTTCTTCCTAAAAAAGAATGACCAACACTCAAACTTTCTAACATTAAGACCTTGGTAGTGGAGATTTATTTTATATATACCTGTTGTAGTCTGAGCCCTTTATTAAGTAGAAAAAAACTATGAACAAACATGCTGATAGTTTCCTTTTTTAATTCTCAAAATTCATTTTTTTTTTTGCTTGGGGAGAATATGGTGCTTCAAAGGAAGAAAGGTAGACTGGAATTAATATAAACATATAAATAAACCCAGATTAGAGTTGTTTGTATGATTTTTTTTAAGCCACACTGCTCTGCAATCTGAGTAGATTCACAGAGAGTAAACTAAATAAAATTTACAGTTTCCTATAAATAAGTATAATTTATCAAGTAAATTTAGTGGATGAGACTTTGACTGTACCATGTTAAAAGGCATTTGTGAAATGACATGCATAGTAGAGATCAAGATCTAGCCAAAGAAAATACAGAGGCAGAAGAGTATAAGGACTTTAAACCAAGAACTTAAGGGGAAGAACACAAGCATTTATTAACTACCTACTGTGTACCATTTCATTTGAAGGAATGAGCAAGACAATCTAATGACGGGATTAATTATTCCTGCCTTTAGATCCTCCTCCTCTTTGTCTTCCTCTCTTCTGCAGGATCGTCTTTCAGAATTTCAATAACATTTTCACTTGCAAAGGAATCCAGAAAAGAATATATAACAATCAAGATTGTCATTATTATTTTATATAGTTCTTGAAGAATTACAAAACACTTTATATACATATTAGTCCACTTTTGCTACTTTTAACTATTCTTACAAAAGTTTTGAGAGAGAAGAGTTTGAAGTGATTGACAAAATTGTGGCTTTTTATTAACTACATTGTGTCCCTGTTGTTCACCAAAGTTCAAGTGAGGTTAAGAACAACTAGAGTGGTTTGGAAAATAACAGGTATTTAGAATCACAGATTTAAAGTTGGAAAGAACTTCAGAGGTAATCTAGTCCAACCTACTCATTCTACAGATAAGGAAACTGAGTCCAGAGGCTGAAACGATTTGCTGAAGGTCACAGGTCATAATAAGTGATAGAGGCAGGATCCGAGTCCAGATTTTCTGACCCCAAAATCCACTGATCTTTCCATTACACTTTGAGAAATTGCCTTGGGAAAGGGGGCAGAGCTCTTGCAGGTAACTAAAAAACAAACTTTATTTCTGGAGAGGTCTAGGCTTATGTGGGATAGATAACATAACTGAGTTTTCCTAAGTTTTTCTATCTTAACATATTATGATTATTTGTGACTGTGAGCGTAACGATTCCTATTGGATCATGGTTTTCCCTGATCAGTACCTCATACATAGTAGGTTCTTACTAGATTTGTTGAATTGGAGTATTTTTGTTTTCTTTTTGTAGATATAGAATACTATATTCCTAAGGACCAACTCGTTATTGACATGCTGAAGTATCATTAGTCAGTCAATAAGCATTTATTCTGCACCTACTATGTTCCAGGCACACTGCTAAGCTAAGCACTGAGAATATAAAGAAAGTCCAAAACAATGGTCCCTGCCCTAAAGGCTCTAATGGGTGAGACAACATTCAAATAACAATGTACAAACAAGATAATTTGGAGACAATCAACAGAGGGAAGATGCTATTATTAAGGGGAATCAGAAAAGGTTTCTCATAGAAAATGGAATTTTAGCTGGGACTTGAAGAAGTCCAGGGAATCCAGGAGGTGGAGATGAGGAGACAGTTTTCCAGGCATTGAGAACAGCCAATGAAAATACTCCCAGGAGTCCAGAATCGGAATATCTCATTGAAAAAACAGCAAAGAGTTCAGTGTCATTGGATCAGAGTATATGGAGGAAGAGGAAGGATAAGAAGACTGGTAAGATAGGAAGGTGCCAAGTCATACAGTGATTTAAAAGCCAGAGGATTTTACATTTGATCCTGGAGGTAACAGAGAGTCACTCGAGTTTATTGAATATTAGAGTAACATGATCAGACCTGTGCTTTAAGAACATCATTTTGATGAGTGAGGATAGACTGGAGTGGGGAGAGATTTGAGGCAGGAAGACCAACTCAAAGGCTATTGTAATAGTCCAAGTGTGAGGTGATGAGAGCCCGCGCCAGGATAGTGGCGGTGTTAGAGGAGAGGAAGACATAGAGAGATGTTATGAAAGTAAAAATTGACAGGACTTCACAATTACAAACTGCTCTATGATATAAATCAGAGAGGACAGAATTTTCCTGATCTGCTTGTACCACACAGACCAACTCAAGAAAAGATTTGCCTCAGCTGCTCAGCAGAAAAGAGGAAAGCTAAAACCTTTAACATGTTCCCAAATGAGAATTTATATGTCAAGCCTTTTCATCTTGAACAAAAGAAAGATCAAACTTTGGAGTACCTTATTTCTTCATCATAATCTGTGGGGGTCTTTTTAAGAATTTCTCAGCCTTTCCTGAAGAATGAAAATTTTTGTGGACTCTGCTGCCACCTCATGGTGTAATGAGTTATTAGAAAGACTATAATATTTATTCCCTTCCTGGGAAATTCTAGGAAGCAATGATGGAGGATAACAGGCAGAATAGATTTTTCCTATCTGGTACTCTGAGCGTGTCTTCATAGTACCTGTGTCTAATTGCTTTTCCCACTCTAAGTTTAAGTGGTCCAAAATCTGACTAATTTCTATCATTGCCAAAATGTGCTGGGTGGAATAACATGCTTAAGTCTTCATTTTTCTCTACCTCATTTTTTAGTTTTTTCTTAGCAGGTGCTATGCAAAGTTATCATTTTCCCATATGATTCAATATGATCTCCCTCACCCCCAAACACATACACACACACACACACACACACACACACACACACACACACACACACCGCCCACCACCACTATCCTCTTTATGCAGATGGTGATTTTCTTAACTATTGTGGGTTTTTGTATTCATTGGCTATTTGTCAGCATTGTTCTGGCCCAGGGGGAAACATTAAGGCAAGGATTGATCTGGGGTTCAAGTGGAACAGAGACCCACTCTAGCCTCCTTGTGCTTCCACAGGCAGTTAGTGCCCCTTCATGTGCAGACCAGGACAGAGAATCTTTTTTGTTTGTTTGTTCCTTTATGTTGGCCTTGTTCTACATATTAATTAATTAATTGAATGTATCAACATTCTTTCGTTGGATTTGCTTTTTCAAATGGCTTAATTCTGATAATGTGCCAATTACCGTAAATAAAAAATATGTAATGATGAGTGAGAGACAGACCCCAGAGTGGGTTTTAGGCAGTTAGGCAAGCTTCCTCCCTACTGGATACACACATTTGCCATCAAAAGGTGTGCCAGTAGACTACAGCTTCCTTGAGTGCAGGGATTTTGGGATATTGTTTTTTCTTTGTTCTCCTTGCACCTTACACACAATAGGTGCTTAATATGAGGACACTGTAGCATAATGAATAGGGCATTGGACCTGAACTTGTATCTTGCTACAGACATTTACTAGCAGTAACCCACCTCCCAGGTTTGCTGAAGCCTAATGGGATTAACAAAATGTTCTGCAAATCTTAAAGGACTATATAAATGTTAGCAATTATTTTTTCTGTTATTATTAATAAATGCTTGTTGAATTGGATTGGAATTCTTTACTTGGTAGGATTAAAAGTTTGGACAAAGAAGTTGTGTAAAGGAACAGTAACTGAAATGCATCTTCTCTCCCTGTTAATCTCCCCTCTATTCTTCTATCACTCACTTGCCTAATTCCAAAATTGGAAAATGGCTCTAATGAACCTGTTCTCTGACCTTTTTCTACCTGGCACTGATGCTTGCTTGAAAATTATTCAACTTTCTCTTTGCTGTGACCATGTGTTCTACTGCATTTTCCCTACGATTTGCCCCATTCCTGAACCACTGAAAAACACACTTACATGTACTCTTCCATTTACTAGCTTTATGTGATTTGGGACAGGTCACTGAGCTTTCCTGAATCTTAGTTTCCTCATCTGAAAAATTAAGTAGTTGGACCAAATGAACTTGAATGCCCTTTTCTTTTCTAACTATCTGCCAGTCTATGAACCAAGGATATCTTGGATACCTTGAAAACAAGATGCTCATTTGAAAATGTGGTGGTTAATTTCAAGATATTTTGGGGGGCGATAATGGAATAACTGGAAGATCATCGTGTTCTTGATGCTTAATTTCCCAGGAAATGCTATTAGCCATTCCCAACTGAAACCATAGAACAATGAGAAAATGTTATGGTTTTTATAACTGACTTCTCTTGATGGACAAATTATGTCTGGCATCTAATTTCTTCACAATCAGATCAATATGACTTTCCTGATTTAGCCATCCAGGTAGATCCTTATAGTCACATTTGAAATACATTTAATCTTAAATCATAGGTATACTTACTAAAATGGGAAAATTTTCTCTTCCAATTTTCCTTTCTATTCCTTGATATATCTAGTCTTCATTTTTCAGCTCAGGTCCTTACCTCTTCCATCAGATCTTCTCCACCTACTCTAGCCTGCAATGATCTCTCCCACCTCTGAATCACAATATTTCCTCATCTTCTAATTTTATTATGTATGCTTCTTTTGCCTCTCCCACTAGTTTTCAAGTTCTCCCTAGCATAGTATCAAGACCATGGCAAACATTTAATAAATCCCTGTTGACTGATAAACCTTAGGTTCTCCTACGTACTTACAATAGATGACAAGAATTTATAACTTAGACCTAAAAAGGAAAGAGTTTAAGAATGTTCATGTTCAGATTGATCTCTGATAGTAGAGGCTATATACCTCAGAAAATCTAATGGGAGCTTATGCTATGTAAGCTTTAAACAAAAACCTTTAAAAAGACCTTTAAACAAAAACTAGCTACATCAAATATGTATATGTGTGTGTTCTAATCTCAAGTGTTTCCATAATTTCACTATTTGTTTCCATTCTCTTCAACAGGAATGTAACTCTTTGCATGGAGAATATGTTGGAAGAGCCTGTGGACATGAGCATCCATATGTTCCAGATGTCCTCTTTTGGTCAGTGATTTTGTTCTTCTCCACAGTGACCCTGTCATCTACATTGAAGCAATTCAAGACCAGCCGGTATTTTCCAACAAAGGTACGTTGGTCATATTCTTCATTAGTAATGGGCAATATAATATGAAAGATGTTATGTTGGAATGGCGGTTACATTTGGACTGAGCTTCATCTATACACTCTTTTCCCACTTCCAAATGCCAATGACAGGCAACTATAACTTTCTTCCTCTATACCCTGGTTACTTGTACCCTGTGTGGCTGCCTACCCACCTTGCCTGTATTAAGATACAGTTCTGTTTCATAACCCATCATGCACCATCCCCTTTGGGGCTAACAGAGACCTTATAGAACCTCTGTAAGGCTCTACTTGATATAAGATGCAAGGCTTATTGGAATGTTGTTCAGATTTGTAGGCAATGGATGCAAAAAGAAGTGTCAGTCCCTTCCTCCCACCCCAATTACATCTGCATGTTTAGAATCGAAAATAAACAGAAACAGCTTAGTTCAATATTTAATGCAGCAAAGTAACACCTATAACGTCTGATCCAGCCAAAAACAAGCTCTTTAGGGGGTGAGCTGAAGATGATAATCAAAATTTCCAGACTGGGAAAATGCTTTAAGTGCTATTCCTGCCAGAGAGGCCTTCTGTTTGGTCCCCACCTCCTTCCCCTACCAAGGTGGAGGATTTATTTTTCTTTTAGGCTGAATTTTATCGTCTAATATAGAGTAACCCTTCTTTTTAGCCAAAGCAAAAGCCACTGCATGTGTTTGGTGTACATTGAAGACAGCCCTTCATAAGTCAGGTCCTGCTTTAATTTACGATGTTCTACGAAAGAGATGCATAACAGGATCCTAGGTCCACCTTTAATTGTGTCTGTTCTCTTTCCGTTTCTTCGTATCCTCATTGTTGTCCTCATGTACCAGGTGAACTAATTGAAACATCCTTAGTAGCAGCAACATCTAAATAAGTCTCAGTGGTAGCACATAATTATATTCTCAGCTTCTGAGTTTAGGAAGATCTGAGTTCAAATTTGGCCTCACACACTAGCTGTATAACCTTGGGCAAGTTACAAATCTCTGTTTGCCTCAGTTTCCTCATCTATTAATTGAAAGTAATAATAGCACATACCTTCGAAGATTGTTATCAGGATTAAATGAGATATTTGTAAATCACTTTGCAAACTTAAAAGCACCATGTAAATTCTAGCTATTATTATTTTTAAACATTTTCTATAACTGTTTAGAATTGGTCTAAATACGTAATCTAATGGAAAGAGGACTAAGCTAAGAGTCATTAGAAATAGATTCAAGTCCTGTCTCTGCCACTCACTAGTTATATGCCCTTGGGTAAGTCATTTCATGGGCCTAAGTTTCTCCATCTATGAAATGAAAGAGATTAAACTAGATCCCAGGATCATAGATTTAGAGCTGGAAGGCACTCTAGAGGTAATCTAGTCCATCCCCCTTATTTTGTAAATGAGGAAACTGATGCCCAGAGCTCTTACGTGATCTGCCCTAGCTCACATAGGTAGTAAATTGCAAAATTAAGATCAGAATCTATAGCCTCTAATTCCAAATTCAGAGCTCTGTGTACCATACTCACTCTCATGATGAGTGCTCAAGTTCCTTCCTACTATAAAATCCTATAATTCCACGTCCATTTTCTTAGTGTCTTCACTACATAACTCCTCTCAAATATTGAAAGGCATTTTCAACATTGAGACATGAACTTCAGGGAAAATCCAGACTATCTAACCTTATTCTGAATTTCAGAAAGTTCACATTTAGAGACCAAGAAGGTTTAGATTATCAAACAAATATTAAATTAGAATACAACCATTATCACTACTGTGTTCCAACTACTTTTAAATATTTCTATCTGTGACGTAAGGAACTTTGGGCTTAGGTAGGGTGGGGGTGGGGTGTGGGGATGTGTCCCATAGAAGATACTTCTAGGTCTCAGTTTCTTCATGTATAAGATGAAGGGGGTTTGACTTTGCTGTTGTTGTTGTCATTGTTCAGTTGTTTCAGTTGTGTCCAACTGTTCATGACCCCATTTGGGATTTTCTTGGCAAAGATACTGAAGTAGTTTGCCATTTTTTTCTCCAGCTTGTTTTACAGATGAGGAAACTGAGGCAAACAGGATTGCCTAGATAGCCTCAAAGTTCCCTTCTGATTCTAGCTTAATAATCCTAATTCTAATCTACATATAGTCTATAGCAATGTTTTGGTTTATAAACTGTTTACATATTTGTTTAACTTTAGATGGGAATGTAAGGATAATAAACTGTGATGATAGAATTTTGTGGCTCTATGCTCTCAATTCCATTTAAAATATTTGCCATAAGTTTCATTTTCTTTGACTCATATGGCAATATATAATACTTCACTGCACCAAATGACTTTTTGTTTTTCATTACATCCAGGTTCGATCCATAGTGAGTGACTTCGCTGTCTTTCTTACTATTTTGTCTATGGTTTTAATTGACTATGCCATTGGAATCCCATCTCCAAAACTGAAAGTTCCAAGTGTTTTCAAGGTGAAACCCTCCCCTCACCTTCCCTCTTCTTCTCTTTCCTCTCCCCTCCTTTTATCTGTTCTCCCCTTTCTTCCTCTACTCTCCCCTCCCCTCCTCACTTCTCACCTTCTTTTCTCTCCTTTTCCCTCTCCTCCTCTCCTGTCCCCTTCTCTCCTCTCTTCCTCTCCCCCAATGAAGTATATAAACATTTATGTAAAATTTATAACACTGCTTAAATGCCAATTATTATTTATTTATATAGTATTATTTGTCCATCTGTAATTTTTGTTGTGGAGGGGTTTGTCACCTCATTTACATGAACATTTAAGAAGTGTAGAGTGACAGAGAGGTAAATGAAATTTACCAGTCATTACTACAAATTGGATACACCATTAGAAAAAAGACCCATGGAAATTAAAAAAAAACTGAAAGAAACTTCCTTTGGATATTTCTAATTGGAATTTCTGCATATATCAATACTGATAGTTAAAAGATATTTATAAAGTTAATGCAATAACATTTTAATTCAACTTTATGTTAGAGTAGCTTTTTTATCCTTTGTACTGAAGATGATATTTAATTCTATTTACTGAATGACCAGCTCATCAGTTTTCCTGGTATCTTCTGTAAGACTCTAAAGGAATAGGTGCCGTTATTACATATTAATAGTACACATTTTAAAATTCATACAGCCTACTAGGGATGACCGTGGCTGGTTTGTTACCCCATTGGGACCAAATCCATGGTGGACAGTGATTGCTGCTGTGATTCCAGCTTTGCTTTGTACTATTCTTATCTTTATGGACCAACAAATCACTGCCGTCATTATCAACAGAAAGGAGCACAAGCTAAAGGTATGTTTTTAACCTTTCCACCTAAGGCATGTAAATTTATTTAACTGAAATTGATTAGAATTGTTTAGATTTTCCATATTCTGCCTCATTTATTATTTTAAAAACTGCAATATGCCATCAATTCATCTTGAACCTTAAGGCTTGGTTCTTTTAATTTGGCCTTACAAATATCTGTGTGAATTATAGACAACATTTTTTAGTCTTCAAATTCTTTTCCTTTCATTTTCTTGAAAATTTTTCTAACTAAATTTTTTTTCTAAGAGTAAAAAAAGAAAGCCTCATAGTTTAGAGAAGGGTATGTGGCATTCTCACTGAATTCAGTAAGTAAAACAATTTATTTTATTTATTTTAATAAATACAATGGGATATTTCGATGAAGGCACTTCATTTCACTTATATGCGAACTAGAGATGATTTCACTTTGCTGCTGTGAAAACTGAAAATTTTTTAGCTGCTATGTAATTACTATAAGATGCTTAGACTGAACACTCTCCTCTTCAGTAACCCATGCTAAATACAATCAATACAGTTATTGAGTGGTTAAAAAAATCTAAAGCAATCTTTATAAAAATAGAACATGCACTATCTTGTTTTTGTTCTGATATCCTGGGGAATTGCCAACTATTTTCACATGCCTACCCTTGAAAACATAGGGGAAAAATTTAGATTACCAGAGCAATTGAAATCATGTAGTGTTTTATGGGATTGTATGTGCCTTGATGAGATAAGAAAATTTCTTTTTTAAACTGTTATTGTGATGCAGATATGATTTAACTTGGAAAAGCACAAAGCTATAGCTATTTGTAATAAATAAATGTGATGCAGGGAATAACTGTATGGAGACCAGAAAGCTAAACTCTATTACAATTGGAGAGAACAACAGCATTATGAGCCTTTTTTTGAAGGAAATTTTATATATATATATATATATACACACACATATGTATATATGTATACATATATTATATATATAAAATTGTTGTCACATGTCCTTGATAATGGCTAAGCTTTTCCAAATGATGTGTTTGTAATAATTCGTGTATTATTAGAAAACACCACCTGAGATTAGTGAAAGCCTTCAGTAAAAATTTACCAATCTTAGAATGCCTAAATTTATATTCCTCAATTTCCCAACTATCAAATAGTTGATGGGATTTTTACCACTCCTTCCACCAATCCCATCTCCCCTGATTCTCTTAGCTTTTAACTTGGTCTTATTCTCATGCATAAAAGGCCATGGTAATTTTGGTAGATATCGTTAGAGCCACAAACTCAAGTAAAGAAAGCCTTAAAACAGACCTGATATTTCATTGTTAAACATTGTTCTGTTGCTTTAATACTTTCCAAAAAGTGATGAAAACCTCCTCAAACACCTGCTTTGAGAGGAAATAAAAAGATCCTCTTGTGTTTTAGGAGAAACGAAAGTTATATTATAAACATTGGGTACATATCAAAGAAGATTGATTTTTGAAGCCTTCATGAATAGACAGAAATCCTCTAATTTCAATGGAAAAATTTCTTGAGTAAAGATAGCAATCAGAGTAATTCAGTCAGTATCTTGCCTAAGCATTTATGACAGCATCTTTAAAATGACATAGAGTGATAGAGGGATTCAGGGAGAGTGCTAATATTTTTAAACCATTTTGTAGCCACCTGTCTCTTTTTCTTTCGTCTCCCTTCCCCCTACTCCATTTCTCAGGTTTTTTGCATATACTTTTTTATTGGCCTTTCTATGAGTGTATCTGCAGTCTTCTCTTTTTTACCTAGTAGAGAGAAATACTTTCAGTCTGCACCTCTTTGAAAAATAATCTAAGGATACCTACTTGGTTTTTTAAATTTATAATTTATTTTTATTTTTCCCATCAATTTATTTTCTCTCCCTTCCAATTCTTTACCTCAATTGAGTAATAAAAAAAATCAAATTGTTATAACAAATATGCATAGTTCAGCAGAACAAATCCCCATATTGACCATGTATAAAAAGGTATGTCATAATCTTCATTTAAGTCCGTTTCCTTACTCCTAGGAAATGTGACAGCCCTTTTAAAATTAGAATTTGTCATTGCATTGTTCAGAGTTCTAAAGCCTTTCAAAGCTGTTGTTTTTCATGATATTGGTGTCATTATATAAATTGTTCTCTTAGTTCTGTTCACCTCATTCTACATGAGTTCACAGAGGTCTTCACAGTTTCCTATGAAACTGTCCATTTCTCCATTTCTTATGGTGCAGTAATATACCATTACATCCATAGACCATGATTTGTTTAGCTATTCCCCAAAAGGTTGGCACCTCCTTAGTTTCCAGTTCCTTAACATACAACAAGAACTGCTATAAATATTTTTGTACATATGTGACCTTTGTCCTCTTTCTTTGATCTCTTTGGGATATGTGCCTAACAATGAGAATCAAGGGTCAAGGGGTAATAACATTCTGTCTACAAGAGTTTTGAAATGGGCTTTCTACAAATGGGAAGAATTTTTTTAATCACTTTTTTGGGGGGAAAAAGTTTTTATGAAAACCTAATTAAGATCATCTCAATGTGCATCTGCAGACAGTTCACTCTTCTTTGACATCACTTTTAGTAAGGAGCAATACAATCACAGATCACTTGAGCAAATGAATGCATTTGCAACATTCTCTTGGCTCCACATCCCCTTGAGGATTATAGCATTTGATGTGTTCTTTTCTGCCCTCTTTGTCAGCCTGGTTCTTCATGTCAATCTATAGTCTTTCATGTGGTTAACTTGACAGATGCAGGAAATTGCTGCCAAGCTTTGGAATGAATTTTTTCAGCAGTGGCATCTGGGTATCAGATGGTCCTCTTGGCTGGCCTCTTGTCTTGCTGCATGTTGGTTTTAGTGGGGTCTGGTGTAGCATCACCTGTTGCTATGCTCCCTTTTCCTTCCATATGTCCATTTCCTATGATTCATATATGAATGTGAGAATCAATGCTCCAGTGCTGTCTCTATCTGAGAATAAATTCCACAGAAACATGTCAGAAGGTAAAGATCTCTCTGTTATGCACCGAAAGGGGGATACTTCCTCTTGGCTGACATTTATTCCAGCTACTAATTTGGTGAGGAAGTCTAAGTACGTAAAGACACATTTTAAATGAAAGTCAAGTGGGAAGACTTTTAGGTGATGTGAATTTCTGGATGGTTTTAATTTCTTCAATTTGTATTTAATCAAGATGTCCTCCTTGGTACATGAAACTGTTGGGCAAAATGGTATTTTATAGTTTCTGTCCTTCCCCTTCAAAGAAACACATTTAATTCTAGAAAATCTTTTTTGAAGAAATTGTCTATCCTGCCTGCTTCCTCCAATTCAGTATCCCACTTAAGTATGAAACAGATTTGGAAATCGTAGTTGTGGAAATTTAAACCTCCTGGGAAGCTATCACCTCACCTCCACTGCCATCACTATGAACCTATAAACCTGCAGTTAGCATCATTCAGAAGGGATGTTCTAATGGTAACAATAACCTTGCATCTTTCACTGTTCTGCACTCTCCAAACTCAATGATGACTATGTCTAAACCCAGAATTCACAGAACCTTGGATCTGAAAGGGTTTCCCAGGCTGTGCATATTTCTTACAAGGGTTTTGTTTTTCTTGTTCTTTGTTTTGCAAAGGGGGGGGGGGATGGGACAGAGAAAAAATAAAAGTTTAACTGAAAAAAAAAACCACTATTTAAAAAAAAAAAAAAGATCAGAGATCATATATACCTAAACTTGAATTCTCTCTACAATATAAAGGCAGAATGATACTGTCAAAAGAGTGCTGGATTTGGAGTCAGAGTATGTGGATTAAAATCCAAATTCCAGTTCTGCTACTTACCACTTGCATGATCTTGGCTACCTCTCTGACCTTCAGTAGCCTCATCTATAAAATGAGAGGCTTGGATAAGATAGCCTCTAAAGTCCCTTCCAGTTCTGAATCCATGATCCTATGATCTCCATCAAATGGGGAAATGGAACCTAATAGTTCTAAGTATTAGGAAGTCAAACCTAAATCTTCCCTTCTGTGATCTATACCACTTCTTCTAGTTCTGCCCTCTGTGACTAAGTGGAACATATCTAATGCAGGTACTACATATCATCATTTTTCCTTCTTCAGAACTATTACCTTGAGAGTGATAGGTGACTAAACCCTCGATTATAGAAGCAACTTTCCATTACAAATCATAAAGGAACCAGATGCTTATTCTTTGTGTATTATATTGAAATTTGCTCACTTAGAGTTGCTTAACATCCTTATTCTTATTATGTAGCACTAACCCTTGACAGCCATTCTCTTTTAAAAGATTTTTTGGCAGGATCTACTAATAAGTATGCTTCTCTTCACATCCAGGAGAACACTATTGACATTGTACTCTTTCTGTACATGGAACTTCTTTCTTCCCCCCTCCACTGCCCAATGTGGTCACCCTTATTCAGGCCTGAAAAGGAGAATTGTTCCTCTAGCTCCTGACACTCAAAAGGTTTCTAAGTCATATTGCAGTCGCCATATTGATGACCAAATTCCCTCAGCTGTGCAGCCACCTGCCCTGCTTCTGCCCCACACCACCCACATTCTTTTTTGCTGTATACTTGAAGCTACTCTGGAGAAAATGATCTCTGCAAAGAAATTACCTTATTCTTCCTTCTTTATCTTCAGATGCTGACCATCCAATGTGGTGTCTTTCTGGGAATAGTTCTGAAGAAATGGTGAGAAAAGGGAAGGGTAGCTGATTCAGATGAAAGCCTTAAATGGACATGCACTCAGCAAGTTCAATTTAATAGACAGTTATTAAGCCCCTAGGTGAGGAAGTCGCATGGTCAATATCAGGAAGAGAACCGGATTTGGCGTCACAAATAGTGTGGCTAATTATTACTTACGTGACTTTGAGCAGGTCCTCTACTTTTGGCCTCATCTCTCTCATCTATAAAAGGAGGGGGCTAGATGATTTCATTTCCAGCTCTAAATCCTTTGTGCAAGGCACAGATATTCAAGATAATTGGT